AGCACAGATAGACATTCTTCTGGTATTCTTTGCTTTCTGCCAAGATCCATCTAACATTAGCTATAATATCCCTAGTACCAAGACCTCTTCTAAATAAAGCCTGTACATCAGGCAGTTCTCTGTTGACATATTGTTCTAAATGTTTTTGTATAATTTTCAGCAGAATCTTGCTTGCATATGATATTAATGATATTGTTCGATAATTTCCGCACTCTTTTGGGTCACCTTTCTTTGGAATGGGAACAAATATCTTTTCTAGTCAGTCGGCCAGCTGGACAAAATACATAGTGCACTCAAAAACCTACTGTGAACAACCTCTCCAAACTGTTATAGAGCAAAAATGTCAGATTAAATCTTAACGTGTGCCTGACCTAAACCATGGTATTTTAAATTGTTTCTTATGTATCTAAAAGTTGGACAATGTATAAGAATTGAAAAAAAGTTGGTGCCTTTGAGTTTGGTGCTGAAGCAGAGTCTGATTATCCCATTGGCTGTCAATAGAACAAGCAGACATGTCTTGGAGAAAGTGCAACCAGGGAGCTCCTCAGAGTTAAGGGTGGTTAAACTTCATCTCATCTACTTAGGGCATGTTGTCAGGAGGTGTCTGTCATTGGAAAAAGGTGTGATGCTGAGAAAGGCAGAGGATCAGAGAAAGAAGGAAGATCTTCAACAAGATGGACTGACAAAGTAACTCTAATAATGGGTTCAGTCAGGACAGAGATGAGGAGGATAGTACAGCAGAGCCCAAGGGTCAGATCTGTTGTTCACAAAAGGTCACTATGAGTCATAGTCATAACAAAACAAAAAAACCTAACCAAAAAATGTTGTTGTTGTTAGGTGCTGCCATGTCAAAAATAGCCACAGATAAACATGACTCTATTGATCCATCTGCTTGTAAGATAATTGAACCATTTCTTCCAAATATTAAAATTCTAAAGAAATATACATTTAGAGAAATATTTCCTTGGGACAATGCTTGATATGCAGGATGAAAATGAATGTCTTTGTTGATCAAAGGCAATTTGTCATACATCTTCTCAGAGAAATGTATATTTCCACTTTGCACAGTTTAAAAAGTAAATTCTTCTATAAAGTAAATCCTTTATGGAAATCAAGACTTAAACTTTTAAGATAAAATGAGAGCACAGCATATATAGAATTTGGATAGATCAAACAAAATTTTAGGAGATTTTAAAAGGTTTGCATTTCCTAGAAGCCTTGTGAGAACAAGAAAAGCAGTCTCTTCCCATTAAGGTTTATAGTCTTGGAAAGCAGGTTATAAAGAGCTGGAAATGACTTGATGGAAGGGAGTTTGAGATTTTCTTTTTTGTTGTTTTTATTTTTTAAATTTATTTTAAA